TACAGTGGCCGGGCTGGGCTGGGCTGGGCTGGGCTGGGCTGGGCGTACAGTCTGAAGCCTCCCTCCCCCGGATCTCCCTTGTGGGTGGCAGGGGCCCAAGAACCTAGAACACTTGCTACTGTCTCAGGTGCAACAGCGGGAATCTGCGTTGCTGGGACTTGAATCCGCACACTGGCGGGGAGTGCTGGCCTCCAGGCAGTGGCTTAACGCACTGTACAGCAGTGCAGGCTACCGGGCACCTTGCTTTCTGTAGGTTTGGAAGCCATTTTTATCTCCTTGCCCATAACTTAATGCTGATTTTTAAAAAAGGAAAGACAAATGGAGCAGCTGCTAAAGAAAGAGGAAACCAACATTTGCTGTGTGTGGTTCCTCTGTACAGTGAGCCAGCGGCCAGGGCAGTTGGGGCAGCTGGGGCAGCCAGAGCCGGGCGGTCGGAGCACAATGCAGGTCTGCCACATGGGTGGCCCACTCCGGAGCTGGAGCTGTCCCTTGGCACCTGGCTGGGTGCACATGGCTAGCTGCAGGCCAGGCCGGGGCCTCCCAGGCAGCACGCTCTCCACTCCACCGGCCGCACTTGAGCTGCGCCTTCAGCCTTGCTTTGTTTTCCAGAAAGGAGACCCCGGCTGTGTTAGACCTTGCCCTGGAACACCCTGATGGGCAGCCTGGCTAAGAGGAGGGGCATGTGGGGTAGGTGGATGAGTCTGTGGCCCCTGCCAGCTCCACCCGCTTCCACTGCTGGCATGGGGGCGGCCGGTTCATGGAACCCAGGAGCTGGAGAGGGCCAGTGGCCCAGTGAGCTGTGCCCTCTGCCTACTTCAGTTCTGCCAAAGCCCACTGGCCATGGCTCAAGCAGGACAGCAGCGCAGCTGTGAAACTTGGCCCTGAAGTCTTCGTTCAGCGTCAGAAAAAAGATGAATGCAGGGTTGTTGTCTTAAGGTCAGGTGTGTGAGCGCTCTGCTGGCAGCAAACCTGAAACATCCTGTCGGCTGCAGGCTGGGGACAGCTCTGTGGCTGCACTCAGTGTGTGGCGTTCAGGAGGCTGTGAGACCTGCAGGCTGGGACAGCTCTGTGGCTGCACTCAGTGCGTGGCATTGAGGCTGAGACCTGCAGGCTGGGGACAGCTCTGTGGCTGCACTCAGTGTGTGGCGTTGAGGAGGCTGTGAGATGGGCTGGCTCACATTTTCAGTTCAGCCGCGTGCCCAGTGCCCAGTGCCCAGGAAGCGTCATCCCTCCTCACACTAGCTCATGGGCTCCTGGGTGACCTCCAGGTCGGGTCTCACACCCTGAGCTGCTGATTCTGCTGTTTCTCCTTCAGCCCCGGGAGTTTCCTTGATCATGCAGAGTTGTCACAGAGTTCACAGAATTGTGGCAGAACTGGGCATGGATTTCAACGTTTCTTTGTTTTTCTTTGGATTTCATGTTTGGGCTGGTGGCTGTAATCCCCCTCCCTGGCCCAGACATCTCTGAGTGAGTCCTGCGTCTCATCACCCTGTGGAGCCTGCTGCTTTGGGCTCCCGCAGGCCCAGGGACTCAGGAAGTGCCACCAGCACACTCTGCTCTCACTGGACGCTCTGTGGCCTTCTAGGTTCCTCTGCTTTTTCTGTCACTGCAGCCTCAGTTCCACTGAGAGACTGCAGCAAGGTGCCGGGCACCTGCACAGTCACGGGGATGCTGCCAGCCATGCCAGCAGCAGGGTCCTGCCCCCATGCACTCTGCTTGCTCTCCTCCAGTTTCCCAAAGGTCCCTGTGGGTTGAGCCCTTGGGGTGTCTACTATAGATCCCTGCTTCCCTCTGCCTGTCCACGCCTCTTCCTGTGCTATTGTGTAACCTTATCTCAAGGCCATGGCTCGCCCTGCAGGCATCCCTGGGTCCAGGCTGGAGCAGTTCAGTCCTTCCAGCATGCTCTCGCTGCCTGAGGCCCGCTAGCCCTTTATAATGCCAGGGCCTTTGCATGGGTTGGTTCCTTGGCCGCTTTTAGCAGGACTGGCCCCTCCCTCTGTCCAGGTCGCCACTCTCTGCCCCATGACCACGTAATGTCATCTCTCATTTTTGTTTCTCTGTTTCCTTGAGAGCTGTGTCCAGAGACAAGATCACCTGATTCAATTGCCTTGCATTCGCCGTCTTGCCTCTGCCTGTCCTGAGCAGCCCTCTGTCTGCTGTGCCTCCTGGTAGCTCAGCACTGGCCAGCGAGTGGTGGGGACCTTGGCCTTTGTCAGGAAGGAGGAAATGCGTAGGCAGCATTCGGGGTGGGCGGTGTGTTGTGGAGAGGGAGAGCAAACATTTCTTCCCTGACTCTGGATTAGATGCTGTGGCAAAACAAAACCCAAAATAGGATTATTCTCAGTGTTGTCCTGGGAGTGATTGGGAGCCTGTGGAGCCAAAGCCTCGCAGCAGGAGGTCCTGCTTTAGTTAAAGCGGGTCTTTTGGAAATCTGGACAGTCCCATAGTCTTTACTTCTGTTGTGCTTTGAGCGCTGCACACAATAGCGTGTAGCCTGTGATCAGGATGGAGTCGAGAGGAGGTCACCCCACGACTCACTGAGCAAGCACAGAGCATCCTGGCCTGGGGTGGGGCCCCTGTGCTGCCCAAGCCACGCACAGGTAGAGTGGAAGTCTGGGAAAATAGCTCATTGGCCCCTGTGGCTGCAGCCATGAGAGACATATGCAGGAAGTTGGTGGGGGGGGGGCAAGGTGGTTGAGTGGGGGGTTTCTGAACCCAGTGGCCCTGGACCATTCCCTGGAGAGTAGACATGGCATCCATTTTGAAAGAAATGAGACTTGACCATACAGACACCCCACCACAGTACAGGGCGTGCTGGGGTGCAGAAGCCCAGAGCGTAAGGAGGAAATAGACAAATCCAGTGACATTACAACTGGGGAGATGCCCAGAGAGTGAGGGACACAGCCAGAGCACGTATTAACTGCCTCTGGTAGGGGCGGCTGCTGGTCCCACTTCATGGGTGCCCTTTCGAGTCATCTCAGTCTTGATAATTGTGGGCTTGTATAATCGAGGTTCCCAGGAGAATGGCGTTCCACCAGTGGATTGTCTCTGCTAAGGGAGGTGTCAGTGAGGTCACCAAGGAAGTTTGGAGGTGATGAGTCCCTAAGAGCGGCCATGATTGGCAGGTTTCATGTCTCTGTTGAAGAACTTGCTTGGGAAGGAGAGGATGAGCAGCTGACAGAGGGAGGAGCGGGTTTCTTTGCCAAGACATCTTTGGGGATCTTAGCGCCAGTGCTGGGGGTGGCGGTGGGAGAAGGCGCATGCTCTGGGGCAGCCCCAGTGGGCCATGATGCTCGCCACGTTTCTTGTTTTCACTGAATCGTGGCAGGGACTGGTCCTTGGTTGTGTGCTGTGCTGGGGAACCTGGGAGCGGGTGATCCCTGCAGGTCCAGCCACCCTGGGCCTTGTGCAGCTGGAGATCTGTGCAATCTGCTGATCCCAGGCTGGTGGAGAAAGTGGCTGAGGGGGCCAGGTCGCAGCGGCTGAGGGGGCCAGGTGGCAGCAGCTGTGGGACAGATGGAGGCTGGGGTGAAGCCACGGTCCTGACTTTCTTACAGGACTGCAGTTTCCACTATGAGCACCAGTGTCTGCCAGCCGCCTGCCTTAGTGAAGGAGGTGCTCACCCAGGTGTCTCCATCTTTGAAGCGTGGGTCTCCCGACCCTGCATGGTGCACAGCCGTCAGCAAGCACGCCCAGTGGGGGGCTCCCCTGTGTCTTCATGATGGGTGTCCTCCATGTCAAGGGTCCTTGGAGATGGCGAGGACATCCCCAACCTGTTATACAGCTGAGCCCTCGCTAGTCCAGAAAAACAGAATTATCATTGTCCACACACGTCAGGCATGCCAAGGAGCTCAGATCAGAGGTTATGATAGAAGCCATTACGCTGCCGTAGGTGAGCTACTCACTGTGCAGGCGTGCTTTCGCTGAAAGAGTCTGCTGGTTCCAGAAGACACGAGCTTCTGTGGCCCTCGGAACTCTCAGTGCAGAGCAGTGCTCACAGCAGCTCTTTGGTGGATGAATGTCACGACTGTGAACTGCAGGGTTATTAAGAAAGAGACCTTTTAACCCTCTCTATTGAGGCAACGTTCCCTCCCAGGCCCTGGCAGACCACTCCCAGGCTGAGGGAGAGCCGCCAGCCCCTGCCTGCTTGTTGTCCACCTCCAAGACTGTGCAGTTCTCAGCTGGGCTGCTGTCACCACACGTGGGACTGTGACATGGGTCTCAGCAGACAGCCTGGGCCCCTGTGGGCATGCTGGCCATGCCTCGCCCATGAGGCACTTCCAGCCTGGCAACCTGGTGGGCACCTGAATGCCCATGAGCTGTCAGAAGGGCCCTCCATGTCTCCAGGCGCCTGCAGCCAGGGAAGAGATGAGGTGTTCCTTTCTGCCCCCATCCTCTCTTGTTCACACGTGCATCTGTGCTGTCTCTGCCTCTCTCTGCTGCGTAGAACTGGGTAAGGGTTCAAGTGCAGACTTCCTCGGGGGTGGGGGGAGGTAACCAGTCTGCAATAAGTCCACTATGTCAGCATCTGAGGGAGATTTCATTATTGACAGCCCTGAGCCATTACGTGAGCATGTTGTCAGCTATAGACTTGGCACTGGCACCACCTTATTTGTCTTGGTGATGTCACCATCTGCCTTGTTTGATGTCCCCCTCAGGATTCATACAGTCACCATTAGGCTTAGTGATGTCAGTTGTAGTGTTGCTGATGTCACTAACAGGCTTAATGTCACTTGCTTGATGCAGTGACATGCAGGCCCAGTGATGTCAGCTGAAAGGCTCTCCAGGGGTGTGGCCTCCACAGCCTGTTGAGCTCCTGGGCAGCCAGTTTCTAACTAATTTTTACCAAAGAACTTCCCTTGCGTCAAGCATCTCAGGGTCATGTCCCTGGTGGGGGTGTACAAGTGGGACCTGTGCTTGCGTGCTTGGTGGCCATCCCCTGTGTGTGGTGTGGGCTGCACCTGCCGTCCTGAAGCTGACTTTCTGCTTGACTTTTTCAGTTGTTCATGGTGGACAACGGAGCAGATGACTGGAGAATAGCCATGACTTACGAACGTATTTTCTTCATCTGCTTGGAAATCCTGGTGTGTGCTATCCACCCCATTCCTGGGAACTACACGTTCACGTGGACGGCCCGGCTGGCCTTCTCCTACGCACCCTCCACCACCACGGCCGACGTGGACATCATCCTGTCCATCCCGATGTTCTTAAGACTCTACCTGATCGCCCGGGTCATGCTGCTGCACAGCAAGCTGTTCACCGACGCCTCCTCGCGGAGCATCGGGGCGCTCAACAAGATCAACTTCAACACTCGCTTTGTTATGAAGACGTTGATGACCATATGCCCGGGGACCGTGCTCCTGGTCTTCAGTATCTCACTGTGGATAATCGCGGCGTGGACAGTCCGTGCTTGTGAGAGGTAAGTCCTGCCCTTTCGGGCTCTTCCCGAGTGGGAGAGAGAGCAAGCCGTTGAACGGTGCAAGGCGGGGTTCTCTGCTGGGCTCCCTTGACGCCTTGCTCAAGATATGTGCGTGGGGCAGAGTTCATGGCACCCCTCACCGGGGGTCTTCAGTGGAGGGCTTCCTCTGGATGGTGTGCCTGCACTTGGAGACCTGGAGATTGTTCTGGAGGCTTCTGTTAGAAACACCAGTTTCATGGCCACCCAGAGTTGCTCCCATGCCATGGTTATGGGTATCGAGCACTGCTGACATGGAAATCTGGCGGGACAGTGTTGGTTGATGCTATCCACAGGTTACAGACTCTGTAAGTGGTTGGTTGGTTTCCTGGCAATTGTGGCAGTGTCCAGCAGGCAGCCTGGAGGGGTGGGTACGTGTGAGCTGTTCTGGCCTGTGGATACCAAGAAGAGGCAGGATGGGGGTCTGCTGAGTGTGGCCCAGAATCAGGCACACACACTCACGTTTCAGGGAGCTGAGCAGTGGGAGCCTGCGTGGAGCTCACGGACAGCAGGGCCTCATTGTGCCTGGGTGGGGAGAACGGGGGAGGGGCAGACTGCAGTGGCGTAGAAGTTTCTAGGGCATTGGATGTTCACATACGGGCCGTACAGTCACCTTTCTTAAATCCAGTTTTCAAAAGTTGAAGTTGTGTGGGTTAAAGAGAACCTGTGTGGGAGCAGCCCACGTAAGCAGCAAGGCAGCCTGGCCCTGCTTCCCGGAGCTGCCCTGCAAGTTCCAGCTGTCGCCTCGGTTCTTGCTTGTTACCTGCCCAAAACAGCTTGTATGGCTGCGTCCAGGGTTTTCTGTTGACGTGGGCCTTGGCTCCACATCTGGAAGTCCCTTCACACATCCCTCTCACTGCTCACACCACCTTCACACGTCCCTCACACATCCTTTGTACGTGCTTCACTCATCCTTTATGCATTGCTCACAGGTCCTCTCACGCCCTTTCACACACCGTTCACACCCTTAACACACGCTTGACATGCTCCTCGCATGCCCCTCACACGCCTCGCGTCCCTCACACGTCATTCACTCCTCCCTTACACGCGCTCACACGCCCCTCACGCCCCTCACGCAGCGCTCACGCCCCTCATGCCCCTCACTCGTCATCACTCACTTGCCCTTCACACACCCTTCACACCTTCACACGGCACTCACATGTCCCTCACGCGTCCTCACGCGCCCTCCACGCGTCCACCCTCCGCGTTCCCCTAAGGTCTGTGAGCTGCAGTCTGCCCGGGGTTGGTGCAGGAATATGAACTACATTTGTTGTTGGAATATCACATGTTGTGATGGTCTTTTGCTTTCCTAAAAGTCTTCCCATTTTCTTTGGAGTTTTTGTTGGCCTCGTGTTTTCTGTGCACGAAACAACCTCAAGTTCCCTCAGGTTGTGTGAAATCCTTCTGGCTCTGGTCTGCCTGTTGTCAGGTCCACCTTGATGAAATGACCCCTGACCCCTGGGCCTGCTTCTGTGTTGAGCTGGCCCTGCATGTGTGTACCTGCTTTCCTGGGTTCCTGGGTTCCTCCCTGCCTCTGGGTTCATTCTGCTGTTGGGACAGAATCTAAATTGCAGTGATTTCTATGACGCAGTGGTGTGGGAGAGAAAACTTCTTACCTGTCCTTCTGGAATCTTCCAGACACCTGGAGGAATCTGTCCTGGACGGGTCTGTTTTAATCCATGGTGATGAAACCTTGACAGCCCACTCCACCTTCAGGTTTTTGTCCTCAAGCGTTGGGCATTGTTTGCAGTTACGTACTGACGTTTGTTGCTGTTGTCTGGGCGTGCCTCATGACCCACCTAGGTTTAGCTTTCTAAGTCTCTCATTTTCTTTATGGTTTTATGTCTCCATTTTTGCTCTAAATATTGGAAGGTAGTCCCAGTTTTGTCTCCCCACTTCATACTGGAGTGTTTGTATTCTGAGTATGAATTGACAGTGCCTGATCGTTGAGCACTTTGTGGTGTGAATTCTTAAATAGCATCATTCTCTAGGGTTGTCAGTGATACTTTCTGACTTTTTTGTTTATGTATTTTTTTAAATTTGTTCTATTCATTTGAAAGGCAGTGTTAGAGAGAGAGAGGGAGAGAAAGAAAAAGAAAGGAAAAGAAATCGCTTGATCTTGCATCTGCTGGCTCGCTCCCCAAATGGTATGCACAGCAGCCAGCAGCCCAAAGCTTCTCTGGTCTCTGACCTGGGTACAAGGTGCAAGCACTTGGGCCATCCTCTGCTGCCTTTCCAGGCCACCAACAGGGAGCTGGAACAGAAGAACAGCAGCTAGGACTCAAACCAGTGCCCACAGGGGATGCCGACGTCAGAGGCTTTACCGCTACCCCCGGTGCCAGCCCTTTGTATTGTGTTGGAGTGGAAAGTTGTGTTTTTGTGGCTTTGGTCCCTGGCTCTCGTCCAGGGAATGCCCACTGTCCCCGGTTGCCCGCATGGCTGTGGTGTGGGGTCACGGTCGGGGCTGGCAGTGGCTTGCTTTTCTCACTTGTGCTCCCAGGGTCTCATCTTTTGTCTGTGTGGGTTTATGCTGCTTTTGCATGTTGGTTTTAAAGTTATTGATAGTGAATTAAAGGGGGTTGAAGGAAGGAGCTAAGGCCAGCAAGTTATCAAGTTCACCTGTTCTTAACAGACATGCTGAAGTGACTGTTTTAATTTTTTTTCTTAATGTCCTGTATCTGAATATGGCATTTGAGGGACCAAAGTTTTCCTTTTAAGGAAAGGTAGGCATCCTATGGTGCTGAGTTGTTTCCTAGCAATCTTGATATTTAGAGGTCTGTGGCATTTTCTGGAATAGACCTACCTGTCAAGTGTGAAGAACAAATGTGGAAAATCTAAGTTGACCTGTTTGGAAGGATTGGGTTTGGTTTTGAAGCAAGCATCCTGGGGTGACAGGTGCGGGAGGAAAGCCCTGGTTTATCGACGTTCGGGTCTCCACAGGGGGTGTCTCTGCACCTGCTTCCCACCTGCTTCCCAGGTACCTGTCAGGAAGCATGAAGCCCCCGCACCTGCCATGCATTTTCTGTTTAAAAGTGGCTCCCCTTAGCCACTTCAGCTGCTTGTCACTAAACCCAGAAAGCCTGGGCAGGCTAGAATGGATCCTGTTAGCAGCCCGCTGATGGCCACCCTACAGTGAAGCTGCCATTCCAGGCCAGAGTGGCAGTCTAGCCAGCAGTCACAGGAAGCGCTCCCAGAGGCTGGACAGGGACAGTGGGCCCAAGTCCTGTTTGTGCAGTTCAGGAACCTAGGGAGCTTAGGGTAGCCACCTCATTGTGCTCTTCATTGGCAGACTAGATCCTGATAAGCTTCCTCCCGAAGAAGGGACTGTCTCCTAATTCCACAGATGTGTAAAAGAAAGTTTCCATCAACCGGGGTTGTGATGGCATGTTTTCCACATTTGATATTTCACTAAAATTCACATGTGGCCACACAAAATCACCAGGTTGTGAGCTGTCAGATCCAGACATGCAAAAGCACCAAGTATCTACGAAGCTGAAATGTTGACCTTAGCATCGTCCCCTGAATCTGGGCACTTCCGTGGGTGTTTCTCTTGCAGCATCCCGCCCCCCCCCCGCCCCTCCTGCTGGAGAGAATGTGGGGACAGGCCGCAAGCTTTCAGAGGAAGGTGTGCCAAGACCCTCTTTCTGTCTTGTTCCTGAGCATTCCCAGGATGCCTGCATTGGGTAGGGTTCCCTGGGGTGCGCCTGCTCCTCATGGCGGTCATTCCCTGGTGCAGCAGGTGCCTCTGATGCATTGACCGTAACTAGTGAAAATGCCGCGTGCCCGGGACCTGAGTGTCCAAAGTGTGCACAGGCATGTCCTGAGAAGCTCACGGTCCATGCTGTGACATGAACACGCTGTGTCACATCCACGCTGTGTCACCATCCACAATGTGTCACGTCACCCTGTGTCACATCTGCTGTTGTGTCCATGTTGTGTCTCATCCACAGTGTGTCACATCCACACTGTGTCACTCCATGCTGTGTCACATCCATGTTGTGTCACATCCACACTGTGTCACTCCATGTTGTGTCACATCCATGCTGTGTCACATCCACACTGTGTCACTCCATGCTGTGTCACATCCACACTGTGTCACTCCATGCTGTGTCACATCCACACTGTGTCACGTCCACGCTGTGTCACTGTCCATGCTGTGTCATGTCCATGTTGTGTCACATCCACACTGTGTCACTCCATGCTGTGTCACATCCACACTGTGTCACTCCATGCTGTGTCACATCCATGTTGTGTCACATCCACACTGTGTCACATCCACACTGTGTCACTCCATGCTGTGTCACATCCATGTTGTGTCACATCCATGCTGTGTCACATCCACACTGTGTCACTCCATGCTGTGTCACATCCATGTTGTGTCACATCCACACTGTGTCACGTCCACGCTGTGTCACTGTCCATGCTATGTCACGTCCATGTTGTGTCACTCCACGCTGTGTCACTCCATGCTGTGTCACCGTCCACGCTGTGTCACGTCCACGCTGTGTCACCGTCCATGCTGTGTCACCATCCTCGCTGTGTCACGTCCACGCTGTGTCACTGTCCATGCTGTGTCATGTCCATGTTGTGTCACATCCACGCTGTGTCACGTCCACGCTGTGTCACCATCCACAATGTGTCACATCACCCTCTATCACCGTCCACGCTGTGTCACGTCCATGCTGTCACGTCACCATGTTACATCCATGCTGTGTCACTGTCCACGCTGTGTCACTCCACGCTGTGTCACATCCACACTGTCACTGTCCACAGTGTGCTGTGACTCTCTGACCTGAACCTGCCTTGTGCACTGTCCTAGGACAGGCCCCAGGAATCCCCACTCTCTGCCTGAGTTTGACCCTGTGTTGAGGGGACCCGCCTCAGGTTTAGGAAGTATCTGGCTTCTGGAGCAGCTCCAAGGCTGCTGTGCATACTTGCATTCACTAGGGATGATGTAGGAGAAA